GTCATATATTTATAGCCGTAAAGAACCGAACGGAAATTCTACTGACAACATAAACTGCTTCAAAAGTACCTGGATTCATACATGAGAATCTGTCTCTAAGCGAAAAATGCTAGAATTGCCCTCCAAATGTCCATTGTATTTGAAAAATGATTATTGTTACAAAATTTACACCGCTCAAGGCGTAGTTGAAAAATCAATGGCGACAAATTCTTATAAAAAATGCCTAAGTGCTTGGAATGATGAGATCATACATTTGTTAAAAGCTATAAATTGAAGATACTGAAAGTTTTTAGAGTACTTTTTGAATTAAAATTGCTATTCTGCCCGCTTACGAGAAAAATCACCAAACTCGTTACGTTGCTCGTCACTCAATTGTTCTTGTGAGCTACTCTTACCTTAAACATTTACTTTTGTCTAGAAATCTGATACACTTGGATTTGAGCAACAATTCGATTAACTTTCTGGCAAACACATTGATCTCATTGACAAAACTGAAGGTACTGACAATGGACAACAACAAATTGACGAATATTGATTTCCGGAGGTAATCGATATATCGATGAATCAGAATTACCTAATGAACTCACTTAACCTAGCTAATTATAGGCTACCTGAAGATCTGACAGACTTATCGTTACGTCACAATTTCATCACAACGATCCACTACGTACCCCAGAGCGCGAGGTAAGTAGAATTGAGAAAACATTTTACTTCAAAAAAAATCTAGAATAAAGCAACTTGAGGAATCTCCGCCGAATCGATCTATCAGGAAATTTGCTGGATTTTCTTTCCGGGAGCAGTTCTGTGAACATGCTTCCAGCAGGTTTAAAACAAGCAGATCTTTCAAATAATCGAATTGCTTACATACAAGAAGGAGCACTTTCACATATGGACAAATTGGCACTGCTGGACTTGAAGTAAGTTGAATCCGACTTTAGCCTCAATTTATCTACATTCTACTGCTATTTGCCCTTTTTGAGAGGAAACCAACTGACGGAACTCAAAGAAGGCTCCCTAGCAGGACCAAAAACTCGATTGCGGCTTTTTCTTGAGAACAATCCATTCCAATGCCATTGTGGACTACGATGGTTGCTTCACGCTAAGGATAAGGTTGTCAGTGGTTCAGCAACAGCTTATTTATTTATTCAAAGCAGATTAGGCTACGTACCCGTGGATCAACACCTTACCCTAGAGTTTTCAATAATTGATAACTTTTTAAGTAATACATTACACTTAACTTATTTTTTTTTTGCGAAATCTATTTAGTTATTTCCAGACATCGCCCGTTGTTCTTGATCTACCAACTTTGACTTGTTCCTTATTACTGGACGAAAACGAACGCCTGAATCTTACAACCGCTGATCACCTGAATCAGCTGATCTGTAGATATGAATCTGTAGGTTTTGGGTCTCAATTTCAAAAATTGCTT